ACACCCGCCCGCGGGGCGGGAGGGCCAAATGGCAGCGTCAGTCGGGGGTAACGTTCGGGGGGCACAGGCTCGGGTTCTGTCGGGCCTGTCCCCCTACAGGGGGACTTTCGACGAAAATGCTAAAACATACCCCCAAAATAAACAAAACATATTCCAAAAATAGTCAGGGGAGCATTTTTTTTGTTTTTTTTTTTGTTTTGCCTTTTTGGTGCATTTTGGGTGTATTTCTTTTTTCTCGTCGAAAATCCCCCTGTAGGGGGGACACGCCCGACAGAAGGCTCGGGGGGGAGGCATCGATCCCAGGGTGAACGTCAGGACGTCAGAGGGGGAATTGTCGGACGCGGCTCGAGATTTCCGGACGTCTTCGTCGATCCTCGGCGGCTCTCCAGCCTCGGCGTGCTCTCCAGCAGCACCGCGCCTCGCCGAGGGCGTTCCGAGGGGTGCCTGGAGCGTCCCGGAGGACCGCCCAATATGGCCCAGAGGCCACCGGGGACGGGGATATCCTCCTCCTCCTCCTCCTCCTCCTCCTCCTCCTCTTCCTCCTCCTCCTCCTCCTCCTCCTCTCCTCCTCCTCCTCCTCCCCCCTCCTCCTCCTCCTCCTCCTCCCCCTCCTGTTCCTCCTCCTCCTCCTCCTCCTCCTCCTCTCCTCCTCCTCCTCCTCCTCCTCCTCGGGGGGGGGGGGATGCATCGGCTCCCCAGCGCCCCGTCGCCGCCTCTCGGGGCGCCCGAGGGCCCACCCCGCCCAGGCGCGCGGAGGCCTCGCCGACTCAGGCTCGCTGTTTCCCCCCCCGAGCTGGTCCCGCCGCGTGGCTCCCCCGCCCAGGACCGTGCGGCGCCGCCAGCGGGGGCCTGTCGCCACTCTGTCGGCGCTGCATCGGCGACTCCAGGTCGACGTGTGTATATATATACATATATATATATATATATACAAGACTGCAGTGGCGCTTCGCGCCATGCACCTTGGTCCTCGAAGATTGCTATGCAGGCGGAAAAGGCAGGAAGGTCGAGCGGACACTTTGACGATAACTCCTTTCTGCCTTTCTGGCATCGCCGTTGTAATCATGCTGTTCGTTATCCTTCATCCATGCTTATGTTTCCTCGTTCTCGCCATACCCTGGGCATTCTCCCCATCCTCCTCTGCTCTTTTTGCGGAGGCTCCTCCTTGGAGAGCCTCTGGGAGCCTCACCAAAGTTCTCAAGCTTTCTTAAAGCCTTCTGGAGGCCTCCTGGGCGTGTTCTGGGGGCCTCTGGGGCTTCCTAAGGCCAACCTGCCTCTAACCGCGGTCTCCCTGAACGCCCCGGTCACGATTTGGAATGCTTCGGAGGGTGTCTTGGGGCGATCTCGGGCCGCCATGGGGCTCTCTTAGGGCCATTTTGGACCCCTGGTGTACCGTTTCGGGCCTCTCTTGGACTGCCTGGAAGCCCTTTCGGACGGCTGTGGGGCGATTTTGGAGCCTCCCAGGCGACTTCGGACGCCCAGAAGACTGCTGTCTTGGAGCGTCGGGAAGCCGAAAAGAGGAGAACCCCAAATTCACCAAAAACCTACATTAAATCAATGATTTTTGCCTCTTGGGGCCTTCGTCGGGGTGCTCTTTGAGGCCTCTTGGTACGTTTTGGAGCGATCTTTCGGGGTATGAGGGCTTCTTGGAGCGCTCTTGTGCTGTCTTAGGGTTCTCCAGGACGTTTCCGATGACCCCCCTGATCGCCCTAGGTGTGCTGCGTAGGCTTGGCAAAACGCCCTGCGAGGCCCCGGGGGCCGCTTCGAGGCCCGTCCGAAGGGTCCCAAAGCCCCAGATCCCGGGAGTCCGTTTTTTTTTTGGGGGGGGGGGTGATGGGTTTTCCCCCCGCCCGGGCTTGTAGAAATATAGGAAGAGGAATATATATATATATATATATATATATACATACATACACGTAGCACCCCGCAGATGCGGATAAGAGTGAGGGGACGGTGGGGACGTCGGCAGTCTGCGAGACTCTGGAGAAGCCCGCCGCAGGCGCCAAAGTTCCCCAAATTATGCAAAGAGCCCGCCGCAGGCGCCGATTTTTTCTTCAAGCCAAAGCGTATCGGTCGCGGGTGGGTCGCGGGGTGGGTCGCGGGTGGGTCGCAAGTTGGTCGCGGGTGGGTCGCGGATGGGTCGTCGGTCGCGGGGGTGCGCGTGGTCGCGGGGTGGGTCGCGGTGGGTCGGGTCGCGCGGGGTGGGTCGCGGGGTGGGTCGCGGGGTGGGTCGCGGGGTGGGTCGCGGGGTGGGTCGCGGGTGGGTCGCGGGGTGGGTCGCGGGTGGGTCGCGGGTGGGTCGCGGGTGGGTCGCGGGTGGGTGGGTCGCGGGTGGGTCGCGGGTGGGTCGCGGTCGCGGGTGGGTCGCGGGTGGGTCGGCGGGGGGGATCGCGGGGTGGGTCGCGGTTGGGTCGCGGGGTGGGTTGCGGGGTGGGTCGCGGGTGGGTCGCGGGTGGGTCGCGGGAGGATCGACGACAACAAACAACAGCAACAACAACAACAGCAACGCAACAAGCATAATCTTCACCACGGATTCTCACTTCAGCCACGCACCCAGGGACAATGAATGAGCGTTCGGCCCCCATTCTGATATATGTATATGTAGTCACAATAATAGAAATGGTAGTAGTAATATAAACAAATAGGCCAGGCCCCCTCCCGGGGCGTCCTCCACCGCGCTCACATCTGGTGTACGCTCCTGGTACCGCGCTTCCTAGCCTCCCGGGGAGCCCCCACAATGCCTAAAGACAGTTTAAGACGACCCCAAGAAGCCCCCACAGCGAAAAAGAATTGCCCAAGACGCTCCCAAGCAACCCAGGATAGCTTTCGGGCGGCTCTCCAGGCTCCCAGGAGGCCTCCAAGAGACCTCAAGAGATCTCCGAGAGGCCTCCCGAGAGCGCTCGGAGAACCCAAACTTGTTAATTTCCATAGTTTTTGGCAGGGTTTTTGGCCTTCTCACCATTTCATGTCTCCAACGCTCCAAGACGGCCGAAGAGGCCCCGAAGACCGCCCCAGAGGCTCCCAAGACGGCCCCAAGACGGGCCAAGACGGTCCCGCGACTGCCGAAGAGGCGCCCGGGACAGCTCCAGACCACTCAAGAACAGGCCCCAGATGAGCCCAAGAGCGGGAGCAGGAGGCCGCCAGAGACCTGCGAGACGACCCGGGGACTCCAACACACCCCAGACCCTTGAGAGGTACCCCCCCCGAAAAGCGCCGAAGGGGCTCCCCAAAACGGCCCAAGGGAGCTTCGAGAACCGTCCGTCCCGAGGGAGCCCGAAGAGGGTAAAAACGTTTTTTTTTTTTTTTTGTTGTTCGCCTTCTCTTGCGGTTTCCAACGCTCCAAGACCGAGAATTAAAAAAAGAAAAGAATTCCAGAGATTTTTTGTTGTTAGTGCGCGCGCGGGAATGATCTGTAATGTTTGCGGGTGCCGCTTCTCGCGCGTCTGTCTGACGCCTCTTGGTCCTCGTACTCATCGGGGCTCAAGCTGAAAAGGCAGGGGGGTTCGCGCTCGATGGCCCCCTCAGGCTCCAGTCCGCGATGGATGCCCGGCCGCTTCAGCGGGCCCCCTCGCTCTGGGGTCGGACCGTCGGGTTCGGCGTGCGCGCACCGCTGCTGGGGGATCTCTAGCCACTCCGTGGTGCCTCCTGGCCGCTATTTGTACGAGACGCAGGAGAGTGACTGGGAGAAGGTGCCCAGGATGACTAGGGGACGTGTGCTTCTTCCTGCGCGTGTATGCCGACGCTCTGGTGGAGCAAGGTCGCGCAGAACATTCGGTTCGGGAGCTGGCGCGAGTCGGTGGACGAGGGCTACCCTTCAGGCACCCTCTCGAGAAGCGGGAAGGTCAGCTCCAGCGAGCGGGTGTATCACGATGCCCGTGGAGTTTCTGGGGTGGACTACGGCATGGGGTGCTGTGGGTGTGTCCATATTCCATGTTTGGCGCTCTCGGAGGCCGTGCACGACCTCATCCAGAGCATGGTGGATGTGCCCTCAGGTGATCCGTCGCGGCCGGGTAGCGACGACGCGAGGTTGTGCTCAGATGTGGGGTCGGACGTGGATTGGCATACGCCCGAGTCACCAGTATATGTGGCGAAGTATCACGATGACGAGGTCGAGCAGGAATCATGCGCCCCAAAGGGACCGACGCCAACGACAGCTCCATCCACGGGGCCGACAGGCGGAGGCGGCCTGGACCGGGCGCAGACACCATGAACGACATGACCCTCGGTGGTGGGAGTGACCTCCCCACCACCGCTCGCCTTTCACGGCCTGCAAGCGGATCCGGCGAGCTGTTCCCGGTACCTGGCGACCCGTCGGTTGTATTGGACTACTGGATCCAACTCGCTCCGCGTCAACAGCGACGATTCCTTCGTGACTAGCGCGATTGTGTCGAGTCTCTTACGACGTGGTGTCGGTCTCAGTGGTCGAACAGACACCCGCCTTTATCGCCTCCAACTACAAAGTTTTGTGTTCAGGCGGATTGCAGATGGTGTCCAGCTCTATGGCGCTCCGCCTGGCGATCTTAACCGTATCCCGAAGGAGGCCTTCTCGGGGCTACTTCGAGGCCGCGGTGTGTATGACACTGAGACGGTCTACGCTACACTGGCGCCCTACCGCTGGGGCGGCGTTTCCCTGCCCGATGACGTGACGACGGCCCCGGTTGTCGGCTCCTTGGTGCAGGGGCGCGCCCGTCAGTATCTGGTGGAGGCAGAGGAGCAGATGATTAGGACCGTTGCTGAGGTCCAGCTTGGCTGTGACTTTAATGGTGAGATTAAGATTTAGACCAGTCCCTCCCTGGCTGATAGCCGGCGCAGGTACTCCAATCTCGTGAAGGATCGCAGACGCCGCGGGCTGGTGGGATTCACTCGCGCCCCGAAAGAGTGTGTGGGCATCTGCTTCGTGTGGAAGAAAGACCCTCCAACTCTCCATGAGGATGGTGCTTAAGTGTCGCCGTTCGAATCAACGCTTCGTATCGCCACCTGGCGTGAACTTGCTGACGATTGAGGGGTTAGGCCGCATCGAGTTCGACGTCGGTGAGCACGGGGCCCCACCAATCTTCCTAGGCAAGGCCGACGTAAGAGACTGCTTCCACCGTATGCTGTTCGGTAACACGTTGAGCGAGTATTTTTGCTTCCTTGGCGGCCTAGCGAAGGAGTTCGGCATCGTTGGGGAGGAGATCAGGGATGTGGTGGCCCTCGCAGACGACTGCGTTTGGCCCTGCGCTTTGGCGCTGCCCATGGGCTGGATGGACCTGGTCGCTGTACTTCGTCCAGGATGCCAACCTCGGCATGGTGGGGCGCGTGCCTTCGCTATCGGGAAGTACGGTCGCTGCTGACCGCGGGCCTCCCATCGAGATGGCGCCCGGCCGCCGCTGGCATTGCGTCTGCGTCGACAGCCTGGGCCCGCTCTCGCTCGATCCGAACTGCCCGCGAGGGGCCCTCCGACGCCGCCGCGGCCTCTGACGAGGCAAGCCTCGCCGTGCGTGACATCTCCCTGGAGTCCGAGGCGGCCGAGGCGCTAGGGGTCAGTCTTGATGGCGTGACGCGCCAGACCCTCGTCAGCCGCCGCCGCTATTGGAAGGTTCGCCTGGGGCTCCGTTGGGCTCTGGCATTGCGTCGCCTTGCTGGACGTGAGCTAGAGGTGCTGCTGGGCCGCTGCACGTTCGTTGGGCTCATGTGCCGCGAGACCCTCTCTGTGTGGCACGCCGTCTATACGTCTGTCCGCGAGCGGTACTGGACCGAGAGCGACGTCTGGCAGTCGGCTCGAGATGAACTTCGCTGTTTCCTGGGCCTGATGCCGCTGTTGCTGCGGTCGGAATGGGGTCGCCCATGGCTGTCGCAGGTGTTCTCGGTGGACGCCAGCCCGCGCGGCAGGGGTATTGCCTTGTCCGGGCTCGGCCAGACTGATGCCGAGAACTGTGGGCGGGTGCTAGAACGTTCTCGCTTCCGTCGTCTTGGCGGCATCCCTGCTCGTGCGAGTGCCCGGGAAATGCGCGGCGACTTCCCCGAGGTCCCAGGGCCCCTTCTTCATGCTGATCGGTGGCGTCTTGCGATGCGCGGTGGGTGGGCTTTCTCGGGGGATATCTTGATTCTGGAGGCCCGCGTCCTGGCTGAAACTGTCGCAAGAGTTTGTCATTGCGCTCCTGATGGTTTCTGCAGGGTTCTGTTATTGGGGGGGATCTGTCTGTGATACTTGCGTGTGAGAGGTGCTGGGCCCGCAGCTTTGGCCTCCTTGCCCGCGCCTGGCGAATTGCGGCCTTCGCTCTGGCCCGGGGTGTTCGCTATGAGTTCCGATGGCGCCCGTCCGAGCTCAGCAGCAGCGACGCTGGCTCCCAGATCTATGGCCCCCAATGCGACCCCAAGAAGGACCTCGCGCGCCTGGTCGGTCAAATCGGCTCGCGGAACAAGCTGTGCCCGAAGACGCCTTGGCTCGAGAGGTGAATCTTGGCACCCGGGTCGGGGTGGGAGGCCTCGCCTTCTTCGATGTTCTCAAAGAAGCAAGCATTTTCAACGTCAGGGCAATGCAGCCTCAAGTTATTATCGATGGCGATGGCGCTTCTTTGCCCTGCTCCGATCGGGGCAGCGGCTTCGTCTCGGCCCGCAGGGGCGACGCCAGGGTCGACGACGCCCAGTCTGACGCTCCCTCCAGGTGGGCGGGATGAAGCCCCGCCTCGCGCTGGCGAGGTGGAAACTAACGCGGAAGATCCCGACGAGCTTCGACGCCGTCGCCGATGCGGCGCGTGTCGCGGCCGTGGCCATCGGCGGGGCCGCCGCCGAGGTCAGCGATGGCATTGCTTCGGCAGACGTGGAGCAGGCTGCCGCGACGCGGGTCGCGTGGGCCATCCAGCGTCGATGCCTGGCGGAGCCGCTCGCCGCGACGAAGCGCATGGGCATTTTTTTCAGTCCGACCGCCGACCCGAGCTCCCAGCTGTTGCAGCGCTGGATCACCTTTTCGACGCCCTCAACGGAAGCCTCGAAGTCCGTGGCGGACGCCTCCGAAGGCTCGAGGGAACGGGGCAATCCGCACATGCTGCCGCTGTTCTTGGGCCACCCCTGGTCTTGAACACCGAGGGCGCCACGCGCTGGTTATTCGTCTATTTGGCTTTCTGGGAGGGGTTCGGAGAGCGATCTAAAACTTTGGCTTTCTGCGTTCGATCCCTCGCTGCAGGTGCAGGCTGGCTCGGGGGGGCCTAGCTCGGGACAGGAGGATGCCGATCGCGGCGGTCAACTTCTGGGGCGACCCCGCGACGCCCGCGCAGATGCTGGCGCTCGTGTCCGGGTCGCGCCCCGCCGCGATCCCGCGGTCGCCCGAGCGCGCCCCAGTGCCGCCTCCTGCCGGAAGGTGATTCGCGATGGAACATACGCCGCGGACAGCTCTTCCAGGGTGTGGCAAGGTGGGCCGTCGCACAGTCAGCCGAGGCTTCGCGGCCCGCGCATGGGATCTCATTCGCGGGGCCGATCGCGATCTCACGGATGAGCGAGTGTTGCGATGCCTGTTGTCAGATCTTCAGGATGGCAAGAGTTTTGCCGCAATGATTGGTTTACCCTGTGCCTCCTCGACGATAGCCAGAGGTAGAACTTTCCAGATTCGCTCTCGTGATCAACCGTGGGGTGCCGATCCCGCCCGCGCCTCGGAACGTGATCGAGAGTCTCTCGGGAAGGGCAACCAGTTGATTCGCGTTGCGATGCGTTTTCTTCGGCACCTGAATAGATGCAAGATTCCTTGGGCCCTTTCGAATCCACGCGCATCAAGATTGCGGTTCATACCTGAGACGCTCCGCTTGTGCCATCAGGCGACGGCGGATTCGAGGCTGGCTGATTTCTGTCAGTGGGGAACACCGTGGCGAAAACGGACCTGGCTTGCGCGCGGCAGCTCTGGCGACGGCGACGCTGCACTTCTGAACCGCTGCTGTTCAGGTCATCGTGGCATTTGCTCTCGCGCCCGCCGCCGACGTCAGTAGCTTAGCGGTCGCAGTGATAAAAGCGTCTTGTGGGCCAGTCCTGCTCGGCCGTGTCCGTCTCGCCTTGTCGCCGCTCTCGCCAAAGTTCTCGTTTGTAAGAAACTCGCGATTTCCACTTTCAACTCAATGGGTCCCGTGACGACCCGTGCCCAGTTATATGCTGGCTGTTCTTTGCTCGGTGCCTGTCGGCGCCTTGTTCGGTCTCGCTCCTTCCCGCCCCGTTTCGACCCGCTCGAGTGAACCCTTGTCCAATTCGGGGGTTTCGGACTTTAGCCGGGGCTCGATGGCAAACGACCTCCATCGTGCCCGCGCTGTGTGTGTAACCCAGCCAGATATTAGCAGTCGTTCTTCGTTTGAAAACATGGTTAATCATGTTAGTGCGTGCGCGGGATTGATTTGTAGTGATTGTGGGTTTCGCTTCTCGCGCGTCTGTCTGGCGCCTTTTGGTCCTCGTAATCATCGTGGTTCAAGCTGAAAGGCACCCGCACTGTCGCTCCCTACCCGCCTGTGCTTTTGCCATTCTATTGGACTTTAACCAGGTCTCGATGGCAAACGGCTTCCATCGTGGCCGTGCTGTGTGTGTAACCCAGCCAGATAGTAGTAGTAGTTGTTTTTTTTTTTTTTTTTTTTTTTTTTTTTTTTCTCTCTCTCTCTCCCTCGTTCAACACGTGCGCGCCCCTCCCCTCCCAGGGGTCCCACACGTTCCCGGAACATCTCGTGTGCGTCCCCAGATCCGCGCTTCCCGGCCTCCCGGGGGGCCCCCACAATGCCCAAGGACAGTCCAACACGACCCCAAACAAAAACCCCACAACTTAAAAGAGTTGCCCAAAACGCTCCCAAGCAACCCAGGATAGTTTTCGGGCGGCTCTCCGGGCTCCTAGGTGGCCTCCAAGAGACCTCAAGAGAGCTCCGAGAGGCCTCCCAAGAGCGCCTGGCGAACCTAATATCGTTATTTTTGATTTTTTTTTGTAAGGTTTTTGGCCTTCTCACCATTCCGTTCTTCCAATGTTCCAAGACGGCCGAAGAGGCCCCCAAAACCGCCAAAGAGGCCCCCAAAACGGGCCAAGACGGTCCCAAGACTGCCGAAGAGGCGCCCAGGACAGTTCCAGACCACAGAACAGGCCCAAGATGAGCCCAAGAGCGGGAGTTGGAGGCCGCCAGAGACCTCCGAGAGGACTCCGGCACCCCCCAGAGGCCTCCAACACATCCCAGACCCATGAGAAGCCCCCCAAAAAGTGCCGACGATGCCCCCAAAACAGCCCAAGAGAGCTTCGAGAGCCGTCCCGAGCGAGCCCGAAGAGGGTCAAATCGTTGCTTCTTCCAGTGGTTTTTGTCAATGTTATTCGCCTTCTCACGTTTTCCGGTTCAGAGATTCCTCCTTTCTTTTCCAATCTCGAATTCAACAAATGCGCGCCCCCTCCTCCCGGGGGTCCCACACCTTCCCGGAACATCTGCGGAACGCTCGCGGTGCCGCGCTTCCCGACCTCCCGCGGCCCCCACAATGCCATACCCAAGGCCAGCCCAAGACGACCCCAAGAAGCCCCCAGAACGTTAGAGGAAGGCCCAAGACGCTCCCAAGCAACCCAGGATAGCTTTCGGGCGGCTCTCCAGGCTCGCAGGAGGCCTCCAAGAGACCTCAAGAGAGCTCCGAGAGGCCTCCCGAGAGCCCTTGGCGAACCTAAAATCGTCAATTTTCATGTTTTTTGTAAGGTTTTGACCTTCTCACCATGAGATTCCTTCGCTCCAAGACGTCCGAAGAGGCCCCCAAGACCGCCTCGAGACCGCCCAAGGAGGCCCCCAAGACTGCCCACGGACCAAAACGGCCCCAAGACTGCCGAAGAGGCGCCCAGGACAGCTCCAGACCACCCCAGAACAGACCCAAGATGAGCCCAAGAGCGGGCGCAGGATACCTCCAGAGGCCTCCGAGAGGACTCCGGGACCCCCCAGAGGCCTCCAACACGCCCTAGACCCTTGGGAGGCTCCCAAACAAGCGCCGACGAGGCCCCCCAAACAGCCCAAGAGAGCTTCGAGAGCCGTCCCGAGAGAGCCCGAAGAGGGTAAAATCGCTGCTTCTTCCAGTGTTTTTTGTTAATTTTATTCGCCTTCTCACGTTTTCCCGCTTCCAACGCTCCAAGCCCGAGGAATTTTGAGCAAAAAGGAATTCCGTAGATTCCATTTTTTTTGTCAAGATGGGTTTCCTTCCCTATCCTCTTCCTCGAGCCCCATCAAGACTTCGGGGTCACATGCAAAAATGTTTTGGGAATGCTGTTGAACTCTGACGCCGTCTTGGCACTCTCTTGGGTCGTCTTCGTGTCCTCTTGGCTGCCCCTGAAACAACCGTAGAAATCGAGATCCCATGATCCCATGAATTGAGAAACATTACAATCCTTTCATTTCGAACTCACCATCTGCTTATTTTTGCACGAGGACCCGAGAGGCATCCCAACGGACCGTGGCCTGTATCCAGAAAGCTTCTAACCCACAGCCCAGGCACGGCAACTGGAACAAAAATGGACATCCCACAATTCCATTTTTTTCAAGTTCGTCCCCTGTGTACTCTTGCACAACAGACCACAAGTAAGGCCCCGCTCAGCTCCCAGAAAAGAAACCAGGAAGCCTTTGACGGCCCCAAATCGTTGAATACATAACGGGAATTAATGACTTCCGCGTTTCCGCAGTTCCCCTCCTTACGGTTCCGCGTTTCCGCAGTTCCAAGAGAGTCCCTGGATGCAAGAAGCGACAAACATGACATTCCATGATTTTGCCCATCAAGCCAAACTAGAACTTGAGCGCGCGCGAAGCGCGCGCGATGGTTCTGGTATGCATATATATAGATATATATACACATTTATGTATGTATGTATGTATGTATGTATGTATGTATGTATGTATGTATGTATGTATGTATGTATGTATCCATGCATGCATGCATGCATGCATGCATGCATCTGTATGTATGTA